TCTGTCTCTCTGTCTCTCTCTCTGTCTCTCTCTCTCAAGGTCTCAGTATGTAGTTCTGGGTGGCCTTGAACTCATTGTGGAGCTCAGGCTGGTCTCAAAATTGCAATGATCTTTCCTGCCTCAGGCTCCCGACTGCTGGAATTATGAGTGTGCACCGCCATGCCCAGCTTGACAACTTCTTATATGTTTCAGCAATACTCATATATAACCTCATTGGCTGCCTTGCATTCTTGACGTCCGAACCAGCCTGCTTACTTCTCTTCTCTGTTACGAGGCAATGAATGCACCTGGGTTGATCCTATCTCCCACAGTGCTCAGTGCAGTGGAGACAGCAGGTTGCTAGTCATTAAATTCTGTTTGGACAAATGAATGGCTTATAAGTCCATGCTATTACAAATGTTTTTGGATGACTGGGGCTTATGTTTTCACAAAAGACACTGATGATAATTGGGAAAAATAAGCTGGTAAGAACATGCAAAGGAGATTTCATAAAAATCAGAAGAGGTGTGCCTCATGAGACCCACAAAGTGGTTAAAACACAGTGCTGTTTTAATATTTGTTCAAACCAAGTGGAGCAGTGAAGACAAATAAAACAGAAAAAATACTGAAACAAATAGCAATGCATAATAGATTGTTTTATCATAAAACAAACAGACCAATTCAACAGAAATGAACGTTCACATTGCAAATATACTTACTTGGAAAAATGTAATTTATTTTTCTCTTTATACTGAGCTATAAAATAAATTTTCAGTAGATTAAATTGGCAAATATATTAAAACTTAAAGAGAATAAAATTAAGTATCCACATGACTGACATTGACAAATGATCTATAAACTGCGGTTCAGGGTTTCAGGGTGAATGGTGAGGGGATAGAACTGACCTTCTCAGATAAGTGACTAAACTGATATTTGAAAGGCAAAATAGTTTGTAACCATAAAATATAGAAAATTAGAGGGGAAATATCGCTATACATATTGATATCAACATACATATCAACATGCATCACAAATACAAATAGACTAACAAAGATTAAAAACTCATATACAGCATGATCTAAATATGTAGCAGGACCGAAGTATGTAGATCTACCTCTGTGTGTGTCCATGTGTATACATATGAAAAAGAGAGTTCAGGGACATACAAACAGTACAAAAATTTAAGATATGTGAATGATGGGAGTAAGGGTTATTGGATAATGTTTTCTGCTTTTCTGTATTTTGAGCTTTCTACTTTTGCAATCAAAAGTTACTCTCTCAGATAAACTACTTTTTTTTCAGGATGATGCTTCTTGAAAATTGCTTAGTAGAAAAATGGAGGGACCAACTTAGTAAAAGATCCATAGTAAGTATAATTGGTAACACTGAATATGGAAGGAAATGCGTATAAGGAAATTCTGTGCAATCTGGAAATATTTTTTATGAGTGGTTTGAAATTTTTAGAGCAACTCCCTCTCCCATAAAGAAGCTTAACTATGGGCCATGGAGATAGCTCAGTGGACTAAGCACCTGCTTAGGCAAGTGCAAGGACTGGGGCTTGATCCCTGGTAGCACATTCAGCACTGGCCTCACCTCTGGGCATGCCAAGCAGGCCACCAAGCCTGGGCATGATGGGGCACCCCGTAATCCCAGCACTGGGGAGGCTGAAACAGGAGGATCACTCTGAGTCTGAGCTGCATAGTGAGAACTTTACCAAATACATAAAATTTTTTAAAAATGATTAGCTGTGGTCAAGAGAATTTATGTTTTGGGGTTCACAAAAGGAATTGATCCTATCTGTGTTCTCTAGTTTGTATAATAAAAATTATTGGACAAGGAAGAATATATATATATATATATTTGCCTCCCAGGGAATGCATTTATACTGTGGCATTCTTCACTCAGAGCATTTCTGCATAAAAGAACAAAACACCTTTGCACTAATTCTGAGCTATACACATATGGTGGAAAGCTCAGAATGAGCTCAAGAGAATGAGTAGTGTTGCTACACAGCAGAATTGGTTATTTGGTTTCCAAGCACATAGTAGAACAAAAGCATCCATACAAGGCAGGTTGACCAGAAAGACCTGTGATTGCTGAGGAAAAGAAAGCTTCAGAGTTTACAGGTCTCTGGACCATTTGCTTTGGCAACAGATATTCCTGTATTATTCAATAAGAATTTGAGAAAAACTCACCATATAAACTAGCAGCATACAATAATCAACGTATTACTTTGGAACAGACTAGAATATTTCCTAGGAGAGGAAGGAGTGTGTTTTCCTTTTTACTGTGTTTCTGGTGCATCAGTCTCTGCCTGGCCTGTGGTGCTGCCCCAGTGTTCTGCTGACTGAAACAGACCCTACAAAAGAAGGATCGTATGTGTTCTGGCATGAACAGCTTCCAGTGGAGTCCCTTTCACCTGTGTTTTGCATGATCAACATAAAAGATACATCTCTTCTTTTCAGGGAAACTTGATTACCCAGAATGATTCACTCCCCAACAGCTGGGTAGCTAGCACTTTAGGAGCTTGCTTTAATCCCCCTTATCCACAGTTGCATGTCAGACTGGTTACCTGTGGTCGATATTGGTCCAAGCCACAGTGCAATACAGTGAGGTATTTTAAGAGACAGAGGCCATGATCCCACAAATTTTATTATAGTAAATTTTTATGATTTTTAAACTATTGTTATTAATCTTTTAAGGTATCTGGTCTATTAATTACTTCACCATAGATGTGTATGGAAGGGCAAAATACATAGTATGTAGAGAGATTAGCACTATTCCATGGTTTCCACTACTTTTTGGGAATCCTGGAATATAACCCCAGTGGATAAGAAGAGATACTGTACTGCAGGGACTCCAGCCCACTGGCCTTGCACTAGTACCTGTCCGTGGCCTATTAGGAGCCAAGTCACACAGCAGGAGTTGAGTGGCACTTGAGCAAGTGATGCTCCCTCTGCATTTGCAGCTGCTCCCTACCACTCACATTGCTGCCCGGTCCAAAGCACTAGATTCTCATAGGACCATGAACCCTACTGTGAACTGTGTATGTGAAGGGTCTAGGCTGTTGAATCCTTTGAATCAGCCTGGGACCATCCCCATCACACTAATGTGGGAAAAGCTTGTCTTCCATGAAACTGGTCGCTAGTGCTGACAAGGTCAGGGATCCCTGTTGTAGCAGATGCACTCCAGCTTGGCATTTGCATTTGGATGTGAGTGAGCATGTATGGTTAGAATCACTTGACTTGCCAGTGAGGTTGAGTAAGTTTCTTTCAGTCATGTTAAAGATTATTCTGAAGGCTTTGCAGGGTAAGAATGTTGCATTATAGGGTTGATGGTAAACAAAATTCAGGAAAGAGAACCTTGCCTCCAGAGACAGTGGTGAATTTGAATCCTGCCAATGCATTTACCAATGACATGGCCTTCTGCAAACCACCTCTCCATGCTTATGTACTGGTGGTGATGTCTACAATTGGTCTTGTGAGTTTCAAGTAAATGAACTCACAGGAGACTTGAACATGTATTGAGGACTTCCCAGATCACCCAGCTACATGGTAAGTGCTCAGCATGGAAGTAGATATAATTGGAATTATTGAGATATTACATTACAACAAAATTGCACGGATATTTAAAATTGAATGGATAATGTCTGACCTTACTTTACAGCACAGAGGGGTGAGATGTATCTAACAGTCATGTTTGCCCATTGCCTCACAGCAGTGGGAAGAGAGGCTTCAGGAGCAGCGAAGAACAGTTCAGGACAAGAAGCGAACAGCTGGACGCACAAGTCGTAGTAACCCACCCAAGCCAAAGGGAAAGCCTCCTGCTCCGAAACTCACCAGCCCTAAGAAGAACATTAAAGCTAGAAGCGCACAAAGGAAGACAAACTCGAAGAGAGTGTAACTAACTGCCTTCAGCAATGGAGATTTCCTGATGGCCTGAGGCCAGGCCTTGCCTGGGACAGCCCATGGAAGGCTACACGCGCCTTGCCTTACGGATTTAAGCAGTCCTGTTCATAGATACATCTTGCAGCATTCTATATAATGGTTTGCTTCCATTTTTCCTTTTAACCCAGTACAAGTCATATGGGTGGTTGGCACACTGCCATGGCAGGTGTAATAATTAAAGCTGGTAGAAAACATTTTGGGGTGTGGAGTGGCCTGGTGCATACCCTTTTGGCCTACATGTAGGAGAAATAGGCTTTTGTTTTTACTGTTTGACCTAATATGTGCATTGTAAAATTAATGCCATATTTGAAAGAAAACACTTTTTTTAAAAGAAATATTTTATTTCCATTTGACTTTCTCTTAGAACATTAATATGTTAAAATGTGACTGAAAATATAATGATTCTGATGAGAGCGAGAGAAATGAACATTGATGAGAACTTTATATGTTTATTATCTATGGAAGGAATGGGAACTTTTGAAAAATCTGGAGAGTAGGATGTGAAAATTGTAATGAGTGTTTGTCAGAAGACTTTCAGCTCTGTTTTTAGTTAGAAATGCTAAAAACTAAAACAATAGTGACAAATAAAAAGGAGAGACAGAGACACAGTGCTCTGATTCGTGCTTTCTGGCTGTCATGCCACGGTGGAGAAGTGCTGATCCCCCGTCACAATGCTTCTTGTCAGTATCTTCTGTGAAGAGACAGGTGAGTGAGTTCGTTCGTCTTGTTATTCTGTAGGTACCAATTGGTGGGGCAGCCTTAAGGGTTTTATACCCACGAAAGAGGTGTGAGACTCACCTGTCTGCTCAGGGCTTCACAGCATTGTGACTGCCAAATTGGAGAGAAGTTTCTCTCTGCAAATGCAGACAGAGCAGTGCCTGTGGGGCTGTGGTAGAAGAGCTGGGACTCCCCGACTGGTTCCCCAGCCCCATGCCTGTGAGGGTAGACAGAGGCCCACTTGCCCACTCACTATGATTTGAGGTTGCAGAACCATCAGAAAGCATAAGAGTTACGTGTGTTCTGAGATTTGTATTAGCTGTGCTCCTCAGAGGAGAGACAAGGTAACATGCTCTATTCATTTAAGATACTTAAGGAGATGATTTGATATCACCTTTGTAGTCATCGGGTCACAAAAGTGAAGCATGAGGGCAAGCCAAAGTGCACAGAGAGAAGTAGCAGCCATGAGAACTCTGCTATGCATGTCCAGCACCTTCTGAAAGCTTCAGCCAGGGCTGCTATCTCAGGGTGCTGGGGCTCAAGAAACAAAGTACTCCACCTCCATGAGGGTATCAATAAGATAGTCAGTGTGTGGTGCTGTTGAAGAAAACCAAACCTCTTGGCCCCTAAGGAAAGCGTTTTAGGCCTTTTATATAGCATCCCACTGCAAAGACCCTTGGAAAAGCCCCTGGAAGCCATGGGCAGCCTGTCTGAGTCCTTTAGGAATTAGCAACTCCGTGGGGGAGAAAGACAGAAATGCCGTTTGCTGCTACTCTCTGCAGAAAAGGAGGAAATGCGTCTAAGCATGTGAGAGGGTGAAGCAGAGTATAGTAAAGATTTGAGAATGACTTTGCAAACCTAAGCAAAGCGCACAGTGAATATTTTACTGAAATTATATACCATTTAACAAGATCTTAACTAAGCTTGTCACCTTTATGAGCTTGATTAACTGAAACAGATTAAATAGGCCTTTGATTGGTTATTATGAAAAGTCTAAGGTGAGCCCCAGCCCACCCTGAGAGAGCGAAGGAATGGCCTCCCGTAAGCGTCAAAAATTTGGTTTTCTCACGTAAAATATTTTCTTCACCTAAATACGTGTGAGGGGAGATAAATATAAATATATGGAGAGAAAAACCGAGGCTTTGGGGATTTTTTTAATAGGAAAAAACACATTTTTGCAATACTTTATTGACAAATGTTAAACTGTGGTTAACTGGAAGTATGAATTTTTATTGGAAAAAAAAACAATTTTGTTGCTCTTTTAATACCACAGTAAACATGTATTTTCTGTAAGCATTAAATAAAGTTGTAGAATCAAAAGAGTGTAATTAAAATACTACCTAATCCCACTCACGATGACCCACAAGTAACCACTGCTACTTTCCAGAGTGTAATTCTTCAGGTGTTTCCTGTGCATTTACATAGTGATTCAAACAATAATAGTAATAAAGGTCAGAGCCTACTGTGCTTCTATATGCAGCTGCTGTCTTCCTTCGCCCAGCTCTTCACAGAGATTAGTCCTCAGTCAACAAAGCTCTTTTATAAAGATGGTGGAGTTCTGTGCTATGTATCAGTCAACAGACCCTTATGCTGTCAAGCATTTAGGTTGTTTCAGTAAACACAGTGAATAACAGAATAAACAGCTGGAGAGCTGAGCATCTGTCCACATCTTTAATTAGCTCCGGGGGATAATTTTAAGTAGCAACACTGAGCCAAGGAGTCTGCCCAATACGGAAAATTCTTGACTGTTTTGCCCATTAAACTGTGGACTGCTTGAACTGGCAAAGTGCTGACTTCCTAAAGCCCTCTCATCTACAGGTTTATAAGCGTGAGCTTGGTCCAAAAGTCCCCCTTTGTTGAACTTATTATTCTTTTCCTCAGTAAACCACCAGGTACAACATAATCCATGTTTCAACACACAGGAAGCTGCAAAATTGAAGACTTGAACATCTAACAGGAAAAACAATCTATAGATAGATGGACTGAGAGAAAGATAGGTAGATAGGTAGATGGAGCTTAATATATACATGATAAGGATGATAGATAGATAGATAGATAGATAGATAGATAGATAGATAGATGATAGATAGATAGACAGGCTTCTTAATTATTGGGAAAAGCCTATGCTAGCTCTTCAATATTCTAAAGTATCAAATATAATAATATACATGATTATCTAGAAAGTCAGAAAAATCAAGAGTGTATCAAGAAACCAGTAGATTTGTCTGCATAAATCTCCTAAAATACACAAAAAATTCATACCATCAGGATTAGTTCTTACATTCCACTTCAAAACCACACTTTCCGGTCGAACCACACTTTTGATTTCTATGCTGGAATGTCTACAATTTTCTACTGCATTTTCACAATAAACCCTTATCTTATACCAGCTCAAAGATGCTACAGTTTGGGGGAACCACTTTCTAAGTAAAACATTAAGGCACACTGTGGTTCCATGTCTTCACCTGCTGCTGTCACCAGAGGCAAAAGTGCTTGGGATGATGAAATGAAGACTGAGAAGGATCTTAGAAGTCACCACCTACCTCACTGGAGCAAGGCTGCATGACGACCTGGCTGATGTCTCACACAGCAAGAGCTGCACCCAGGGGTTAGCCAAGCTCTGGCTTCTGAGGCAATTACACACTGATGACTTTGCAACACAAATCTGGGTGTCGGAACACTTATTTCTCACCCTAGAAATGCTTTGGATCATAGCCTGGTAGATGCTGACACTGACCGTATATCCAAAAGGTGAAATACTTTTGAGAAGAATTTTATTCTTTCATTTTTTTTTTTTTTTGGTGGTACCTGGAACTGAATGCAGGACACTGGGCTTGCCAGGCAAGCACTTATTCCACTGAGCTATCTCCCTGGCCCTCAGAAGCCTTTTATTCTGAAAGACCCATTACATCATTTGATAAGCAGACCCACCAAAATGTTACTTGCTAACTTTCTCTCTTAACTGATAAGGAAGAAGCCCACATTCTTCTCCTGGGTTAGGTTTTCTACTTTAGTATCAACAACCCAAAGGAGATTTCTCATTCAGGAGAACAATGAGGTGGACCCCTTTTTCGTTATTCAAGCAATTCAACAAAACAAAACAAAAAAAAACTTAAAAACATCAAAGTTATTCCACATGTCAAGCTTAGCATTGTGGTGTGAATCTTCGCAGACTGCTTCCCTGGTTTGGGAAATGAATTTCATAGTGCAGCATCAAAATCTTTCCAAACAAAGAAATTCGACTTTGCGTTTATTTTTTACCATTCCAGGGCATGAATGTAGCCATTTGTTTTCCTAATGATTTGTGTGAGTGGACTTTCAGTGTGCTTCCTAATGCATGACAGGGTAGGACAGCTTCTTGTGACACAAATCATTTTCAACTGTCTTCAAAAATCTCAAGACCTGAAAAAGAATAAAGAGTGTAGGCCAAATAGCTCAGTGGATTAAAGCACCTGCAAGCAGGGCGCAGGGGCCAGGGGTTCGATCTCCAGCCTGCTGTGCTGGTCCCGCCTCCAGGGCCTGCTGAAACGGCAGTCAAGACTGGGCGTGGTGGCACACACGCACCTGTAATCCCAGCTCTTGGGAGGCTGTAAACAGGCGGATCACAATGAGTCTGATCTAGTAGTGAGACTCTGAACACCCTATAGACCCTTTCATAAAATAAAATAAAAGAAAACCAGGAAAAGAAAAAAGAAAGGAAAAGAGAAAAGACACAAAAGCATACAAAGGGCAAAGCATTTCTTTATTCCATTAACCTTCTGGCAGTCTTCATTATTTTTGCCATCTTCATCTTAATTGCTCTTGACTTTGGCAGAGCCCTGAGGCAAGTTTATTTCTTCATATTGCTAGTTAGTCTTGGGCAACATGACAATACTTAATCAGACCCACACCTCCCATAGTTAATCCTTACTCTTGACTGCTCACAGCGCTACTATCCTATTGTCTGTAATATACAATTTAATTATGTGGTTTTGGTTTTGCTGTAGATCAACTATTTTATTATCCACACCTTCAGTAATACATTCACAGTGTGTCACTGATGACCAGATGCAATCCAACAGCACATTTTGAGGTTAACCATATTGTTTGCCCCCAAGGGCTTCTAATACTTTATGTATGTTGTTTGATAAGCATGTGATACTTTTGTAATTACAAGATGTCACTAAGGAGTTACTGGACAGCAGTGTGGAAGGTACTATTGTTGGAAGCCTTGTAGACAGGAAAATTTGAGAATTATTTCATTGGTGGTAAACATGTTAGCCTGGGTCCTAGAGAAGCAGGTGCAGAAATGGAATTAAACGTGCAAGGAATCTATTAGAAGGAAAGCTTCTGAAAGGGATGGAAGAACTAGGCAGACCAGGAGAGCCAGCACAGCATCATGCGTGTCCACCCAGAGTGGAGATGACAGATGGAAGAGACAAGGTTGGTTGGTGTGCTGGTTGATACACTGGGTCAACTTGAGAAGTTTAGAAGTTTAATTAAGTGACTGAGCAGAGAGCCAGGATTCTTAGTTTGCAAACATCCTCATCTTGTACAAGGGGAGGACATAAACACTGTGTGAGTTCTACACCCCCAGCCCCAGGGAAGCTGGTTTATAATATAAGGAGGAGAGAGAGACTGGCTAGAAGTCCCAGTCACTTCCTTTCTCTTTGCTCTTTGCTATTTTTCTGTTGCCATGAACTGCTGCTCTGTGACATGTGCCATTCTGCCTGGGAGCCAGCCGAGTATAGACTAAAACCTCCACAAACTGTGAGCCTTTTCTTCCTTCATTTTGAAAGTTGGGTATTTGTCACAGCAATGAGTGAAAAGTAACTCAGACAGTTGAGAACACTCCAGATTACACATATTATCCAAGGTGGAGTTTCTAGCAAA